CAACATTAATTATATTATTAAAATATTATTTTTCTTATGATAGACATTTAGGGCATGTTTGTTTTTTAAAAATTGCCCCTTAGTACCTCTAAAGTCTGATTCGTTTAGACGTTTGAGTATTAAGAACGTTTGTTTTTTTTATTTAAATAAAAAACTTAAAAGTTGTAAATGTCCTCTGAAGATTTAAGTGATAAATGTATCCCTTAATACCTCTTAATTTTAATTTACCCTCCATCAAATGGTTCATATTTTGGGGACTGAAAGAGATTTGTTAGCGAAAACTATTTATCTTTTATATTTTTGTAAAAAACTATTTATCTTTTATCTTTTTGCATTAGTTTGACCGATTCAAAGTTCAGACTTTAAACGTAAAAACAGTCTTACTGATCAAGATTTCAGACTTCAGCACCACTTTTTACAAATCAGAAGTTAAATCAAACTTCAGACTTCAACACCTCTAAAAAAATAAAGTCACATTAGGTATTGTTTGTCAAATATAAGCTAGCTTATAAGTTATAAGCTAACTTATTTTTTGAGTACATGTTTGAATGTATATAAGTTGACTTATAACCTAACTTACTGAAAAACTAGTTGAGAGCAACTTATAACGAGCGTTTTGCCATTTTTTTTTCTTCCGATTATACCATTTATTAATGTTAATCTATATATATTAAAAGAAGAACCAAAAGTATTGATGTGACATCATGAGAATTGAGTATTGAGGTGTTGGTGAATTGGGGTTGAGTTTGAGATATCCCATATTGGTGAGAGATTGAAAGATTGGAATAAGGAGGTGTATAAGAAAGAAGAATGAGACTCATTGTGTCAACTCATGAGGTTTGAGTGGTTATCTTATTTGGATGACCTTATTTTTGCAAAAAAAAAAAAAAAAAAAAAAAAAAAAACTTATATTGTGTTAGCTCATTAAGTCATAAGGTTATCTTATTTGAGGAAAATCTTGGGATATTGAGGTGGCACCATGAGAATTGAGTATTCTCAAATAGTAGATTGTACTTGAGTTTTAGTTGTCCCACATTGGTGAAAAGTTGAAAGATTTGAACAAAATGAAGTGTAAGAAAATGGATTGGATGCATTTGTGTCAAATAATAGGGTTTGCCTTATAAGAGTGTCTTATTTTGAATGATCCCTTTTGAAATCTATAACCATGGTTGGAAACCAAACCAACCAAATGGTAAAAATTATAGTGCAAAATTAAATTATATATATATATATATATATATATATATATATAAGTAAGACCCTGGGGTGATGCGGTGGCGTGGCACCATGAAAATTATAAAAGTAAAACCTTGGGGGTATTGAGGTGGTACAATGAGAATTGATTATTCTCAAATGGTGAATTGTGGTTGAGTTTTAGTTGTCCCACATTGGTGAAGAGTTGAAAGATTTGAACAAAGTAAAATGTATAAAAAGATGGATTGGTGTCTTTGTGTCGATTAATGAGGTTTGTCGCTTAGGGTTGTCTTACTTTGGATGACTCTCTTTGAAATCTATGACCATGGTTGGGATCAAAACCAACCAAATAAAAAAAATCTTTATATATATATATATATATATATATATAAGTGAAATCAAGAATGATAATTTGACAACATGAGATAGTTATTTATCTGTCGTCTTGATGTTAAAACTATCAAGGTTTGACACACTCCGCTGATTACAATTCAAATATTATATAATGTTACGATAAAGTGTATTATTTTTATCAATTTAATATATGATATGTGGGTCATCGACCCTACTTGATATTAATTTTATTTTTTATTAGGAAAAATCCATTATCTTAGCTTGATGATGTGGTTCTTCATGCATCGCATTGAACTTTCACTATTGTTGCTACAACTTACGCACTCCTCTAATTTTCACTAGAAATATTATAGAACGTTTTTTTTCGTAACTTCAAAAATGAGATTTCAATTAAATTTGTTATAAAATTAAAATCGTGATTTTGTCATCTTAGATGAGATTTCAATTAAAACTGTTACTTCAAATTAGACAAACTACTAATATTAGTCATACATTTGTAGAGTACTTTGCAACACCATTCTCGAGCATAGTTAGATAACTTAAATTAACATATGGTTTTAAGATTGTTGTCAAATCCTCTTAAATTTTTATAATGTTAATGAGTAGTTGTCACTTACATTTGTCTAAATTTTTTTAGAAGAGTACTTCAAAATGAACCAAATAGAAAAAATATTTATCTTTATATATATAAAAGAAAACTTTGGAGTATTGAGGTGACATCATGAGAATTGAGTATTCTTAAATGGTGAATTGTTGTTGAGTTTTAGTTATCTCACATTGATGAACAGTTAAAATTTTTGAACAAAGTAAAGTTATAAAAAAGGTGGATTGGATGCCTTTATATCAAATTTTAGTCTATAACATTCCTTTTGAAGATGATATTATCGCTACCGCGCAACGTGCAGTTAGAAAACTAGTTGTTATTAATTAATACTAGTTTTAGTTCAATTATCATTAAATAATTGTCAATTATTAAGTACTATTAATTTCAATTTATTAATTGATTTTTATTATTAAATATTAGTTCTAAATGATTAGTTAATTTTAATTATTAATTAATATTAATTTCAAATTAATAATAATTTTAGTTGTAAATTATTTACCCGTATTAATTATTTACTATTTAAAATTATTATTAATTTTGTCAATTGTTTCATATTATTGTTATTTAATATATTTAGATGTGAAATATTTTTTATAATTACATAAAAGTGATGGTTATATATTTCTTTTGTTTGGTAATAAAATAATAATATATATAATTTAATTATTTTTTTGAAAAATTATTAATTAGCTAAGATATATAAAAATGATAAACTTAGTTTCTATTTATATTATATATAATGGTAATTAAAAATCATCATTTAATGTAAATATTTTCTAAAATTTGTATTTGGTTATTAATTTTTAAACATGTTATTTTTTGTTCTTTTACATTTTTAAAAGTTGTTGTCAAAAGTATTTAGTTCATCAGTTAGCTTATAAGTTATTAATTAGTTTACCAAACATAACCTAACTACTTTCAAAGATTTTATTTATAATAAATACAATATAATATATTTCTCTTTACGGTAATATTTTCTAGAGTTCTCCAAATTTCACAATCTTTTTCATGCTCTTTCTCCATATCAAGGGAAAGCTTTGAATATTTTGTTGTAAGAAAAAAAACTTCGACTAAAATTCTTAAAGTTTTCATTTTTTTCTCTATTTTAAAAAATCAATTAAAAATTCATAAACTATGGAATAGAAATGCGTATTAGAGGACAAACAAATTCATCAAACTTCAATTTCACAACTGATTAATTAAACTCATCACATATTTTTATATTTTAATCTCGTTGTTTATACGATGATAACTAGAGTAAACTATAAATTTGGTCCCTATAGTTTATTGAAAGTAACACCTTTGTTCCTACAGTTTCAAAATTACACGATAGACATCGTGGTTTATAAAAACGTCCAGATTTAATCCCTCTTTCTAATGACCATTAAAATCCTTTAGTTAAATGAAGTGAATTTCCCTCTTCTTTATCAATGTTTTTTATGCAATCAAAACGATATATGATTTGATTCCTGTGGTTTTTAATTTAGTAAAAGACAAAAACTTGATAAAATAACGAAAATACCCCTCATTATTAATGAATTTTTTAATGGTCGTCAAAGAGAAAGATCAAATACAAATAATTTTGTAAACTATAATGACCATCATATAATTTCTAAAATGTAAAACACGAAGAATGTTGGTTTTGACAAATCACGTGACCAAAGTTGTAGCCTACTCTAATTATTATGATCATTACATTTATCTCAAACATTTTTTTAATGTATTAAAATAATTTTCTTTTATGTTTCCTTAATCAAATTTTCATACAAATAAAAATAAATAAAGTAGAGTCCATTCAACTTTTTTAACTTTCTCTTCAAATAATTTAAAATTTTGAGTGCATAAAATAAGGCATATCTTTTTTATTTAAAAACGACTCTAACTATTAATATGGTTATAAATAATAAGAAATGTTTAAATGATAACATTTTTATTTTATGAAAATAGAAGAATATTTTTTTTTACTATAGTCAATTATATGTGATACTATAATATATCACATATGATACTAAATCTCAGATGCGGTTGACCTTTAACGAGACGTAAGTTGTGGGTCTAGGGATGTGATAAAGGTGTTTTCAATGTGATACTATAATTCATCACTTATTGTACTAAATTAGAGATGCAAAAGACCTTTGACATAACCTAGACTCCGAGCCAAGATGCACGCTGTCATGTCCGTCATGAGAATTATTACATGTGATAATGATATTCTCGTGTTCTCTTAAGATGAAGTTAGGGGATGTTTGTTTGGTCTTTTATTAGGTCATGTATGGATAAAAATATTTGAGTGGATTAATATGACTGTATAAATAGGAGAGATTTTTATTTGGGAGGGTTTTTTTCATAGTATATATGATATAATAATATAATTAAATAAAAAATATTCAAGGTTCTATTTGAAAGTATAAACAAGACGATTATAATGGTGTAACTTGATAAAAATTAAAACATATTATTTTGTTATATTTTAGTTAATATACAATTATGTATGTTAATATGATAAGAATGTAATGTGGCGTTTGTTTTTTAAGAGGTGCTGAAGTCTGAAGTCTGAATTCACTTCTGAATTTTAAGAGGTGGTGCTGAAGTCTGAAATCTGAATCAGTCAGACCGTTTGTTTTTACGTTTGAAATCTGAAATGTAATTTTAAAATTAAAAAATATATTAAACAATTAGATTCCATATTAATGTGAGAGAAAGAAAATGATGAGGGGCACGGAAAATGCATGGGTGGCAATGGCAACCCCTTTAGAAAAAGATTTTGCAGGAAGAGGAGTGATAATAATGACAGGTCCATGAGTTGTTCACATCCTATACTATTTTAGAAACTCCACTCCATCTGACTCTATCTCTGTTTTAAATGGATTCAGCCTGTTGTCTCTCCTTCACTTTTCCGGCAGCTTCTCGCACCTCCGGCAACCCTTGCTGACTACTTTTCTGTCCCCTTTCTTCATCGCAAACGACAAAAACTCTGCAATTTTGAATTTTATGACCGGATGTTATCAATTCACACATATAATTACATACACAGATGAATTATTTGAAAATACTGTAGATGGTGACGATGATGAAGACGTTATAAAACGAAGCTATTCACAGAAGAGAAACTGACGATTTCCGGGGACGAACACCTGGACAATTTTAGAAAGTTCGAGGTGAGCGATTGTTTGTTTGTTTATTGAAATTGAAGATCCATAAGTAAATCTAAATAAGAAAATTTTACTCTGTTTCTATTTCAGTACTGTAATCAATGCTTAATTTTTCTTGGTGGTGCTGTGGCAGAGCTCTTCGTTTTCTATACCTATGTGCTATGTCCACAACATAATAAATGCAAGAGAAATTAGATAAACTAAAGTAATTAGGCTTTATAGAGTTGACTTATATTCTATATGGCTAGCCTGGGAGTTCAATGCTTTGCCCTCTTTTCCTTTCGTTACACAAATATGCAATTCAAACGCAAGAAATTCGTCTTTCTGCTTGTTTATCTTTTCCGCAAAGTTTGGATATGCTTTTGAATGATTATTTCGTTTCTTTTTGTATCGTTGTATAACTTGTTGTTCAGAAATTCGCATCTGTTTTTTTGTTTTGCAGTGCGGATTGTCTTATCTGAAGAATAATAGAGACATAATAGTTTGATTCGTGTACAGGTATCGTAATAATTTATTCATATTTTCAATTTTCGGTTCTGTTCGAGAGTTATTTGTTGGGATCTGCTTTGAATTTATCATTGTAGGATTTATTAGATCTGGTTATTAGATTGTAAAGTACTGTTTCGTTTGGTTGCAAACCCTATGTGAAATGGAGCTTTTCATCCTGTTTTGTGAGGCAACTGACGAGTATTTTATCATTTTCTTTATTTGTGTTTGTTTTAGATGTTCGATGCCAGTGGGAAGTACACCCAAAATGGTTTATTTGTTTATCGCTTTTACTTCTCAACTTAACCGACTTGTCTTTCACCATTCTTATGCAGTAGGACAATATTTACATTTCTTTTGGTAAGCTTGGGAATCCTTCAGTGGTTTTTGTTTACTAGTTGTTGACGACATCTGGTTTTTGTTTCCATTTGGCTTATTGTAGAATATTATATAGAACCAGTGGCTGAATCTTTATTATAATGGTCTGGTTAGTTAAGAGAACAGGGAAGCATTCTGTCGCTATATAGTTTGTTTTTGAGCAAATAGATTTGGTCTCAATCTGTTCTTTCAAATATATAATCAGTATCGTGCTTCTTCTTCCTTCCATTTGACTCTGAACATGGGTGGAAGACATGAAATTTCAACTTCACATGTAGCATTTTACCTGGCTGTTCCAAACGTTTCTGATGCACATGTAATGAAATCTGGTAAAGTTTTTTTTGCCTCCATTTGTTTTGCGATGGGAATGTTCTTTACTGGAAACATGATTTTGTAAACTGTGAAGTTGTTATGGGAGTTAATATTCTAATGTTCTTGCTATATGCTCTTCTAGCTGACTGAAAAAATGATATTTTTCCTTTCTGGTTTTTAGTATGATACAAGCATAGAAAATGTTTTCATATACTCGAATAAAAGTAACTGTAGCTTTACTAGGTTATAGTCTATAAGCAATTAAGCATGATTCCGCGTCATTTTATTTAATCTGAAGACATTTTTATTTGATACAGATGAACTGAAGGCAACAATGAAAGAGAGTCCTATAAGACATACAAATCCCTTCTTATCTGATGAGGAGAATGATAAAGTCAACTTCTGGAACAATCGAGAACTTGAACTTTCAATTGTTGAAGAAGATTTCACGACTAATCTTGAATCTTTAGAGAAGGCTCCTTCATATTCCTTAGAGAAGGCCAAAGAATTGTACATTGATAAAAATGTGGAATGCGAACTGCCAGAGCTTATAGCATGTTACCATGAGAGTGGTTTCCATGTTGTTAAAGATATCTGTGTAGATGAGGGGGTATCTCATGGGGAAAAGATTGGAATCCACAAGGTGCATCGTGGGTTATCATGCCATCCCGTTACTGTTAATGAAGATAAACATGACGACATGATTGAAGAAGGTCTTGGTACCCAGTTTTTGAAGCATCAACAGTCGATATCTTCACCAGTGGAAGAATGTGGCAAGAACACTGATTTATTTTCTGTAACCAAAGAAAAACTACATGCCGACTTTCCTATCCCAAAACACAGTATCAGCCATACGAATATTGGGTACAATCATGATGACATGATTGGACGAAACCTTGAAACCCAGTTTTTGAAGCATGAAAAGACACGATCTTCATCTGGGGAAGATGATTACACAAGTTCTGATTCATCTTTTGGAACCAAGGAGAAAACAGATACTAATGTGTTCATTACAGAGCCTACTGATGATCATAGACATATGGGCAACTGCTATGACACAAAGATTCATGGTCAGAATTCATCACAAGGAAAAGATTGCAAGGAAGATGCTACTAAAGTTGCTAATCATTCAGTCATTACAGATGAGTTAGAGAATGTGTCTGAAGATTCTAATGGACCTTACAACTGTGCATCTGATAAGTTGCCATTGTTTGTAGAATCTAGTACTGCCCACAGCACTGAAAATTGCAGTCCTGACAAGTTGATGCAGACTGGTGAAGAAAACATAGATTCAAGTTTCAATTCACTGGATAATTCCTCCAGAGAGCAATTTGTTTCCTGTAGCACTCTTTCCTTGAACCAAGATCAACTACCAACATCCATCAAAAACTGGGAGTCGTCCAACAATGGTGTCAATGATGTTGGCCAACAGCTTTCTGAGGTTTGTATATCCTAATAGTTGCACGATTCAATGAGTTATGATGTCTGTATTGAAGGTGTTTGTATCCATTTGATGATATGCATGGAGTTATTTTCATCAAAAGAGGTTTGTTATAATGTCTATAAAAGGTTGTATCATGTCTCTGTCGATGGTGTTTATCTCCATTGCTTCATTGTGTTTATCATGAACAAACATCTGCAAGTTCTTTGAATTTGGTTCTGATGCCATGTCTTACTGTTTTAGGCACAGGGTCCTGTAGAGGAGATCTTGAAAAGGCATCTTGCAGGATCTGAAGCTGAAGAACTAGTAAGAAACAGCCATGCCATCAATACATCAACTGAAATCAAGATGGAGGAAAACATCACTTCAAATTCGGACAATGTGAAACCAGCAACTTTTAGCAGTCCTGAATGCATTCATGAACTTCCGCCAGACATGCAAAGTGCAGCTAACCACCAGGAGGAAACTTCAGATAATGTCACAGAATCAAATCAGTTGCAACATGGTGGTGGAGAGTCAAGTTTCTCGGTGGCAGGTACTATTTCAGGACTGATAACATACTCCGGGCCTATAGCATCTTCTGGTAGCATGTCTCTTCGATCAGATGGTAGCAACACCAGCGTCAGATCCTTCGCCTTTCCCATGTAATAACAAGCATACTACTTTCTCTATCTTAGGGGCTTTTTTCTACCTGCTTACTTACTATCTCTTACTGAGTAAGAGGCTCTTATCCAGTCAGAGATGTTGTTCCCCCAACGAATCTTGTTGGTCCATGATACTGGCATAGTATGCTAAGGGAGCAACTCTTAGGGCCTGTCTATTAGCAGCTTAATGAGCTCAATGGGACTCGCAGCTTATTCGGTTAGCTATAGATGACTATTTGGTAGTGGCTTAATGATATAAAAAAATGGCTTATTCAGTAAGCTTCTAGGGGGAACTTTATGCAGAAAGCCATGTTTTTTCCACACATACGCTCCTTCCCTCCGTGAAAAAGTCCTCCCAAACAAAAACCTTCCCCATCTATGTAGACAGATTAATCCACATAGACAATTTTATCCATACAAGGTTTGATGGAAACAACCAAACAACCCCTTTCTCGGTCCATGATTAGTTTAACAAATCTGGATCACCTTTTTGCAGACTTGGGATAACTAGTTTTACTGCCCAATCTACCTTTGGCTAATAGAGTATCTAATAATGCTGCTTCTTATTTGCAGACTACAGACAGAATGGAACAGTAGTCCTGTAAGAATGGCGAAAGTGGACCAGAGACGATCAAAGAAGCATCGGGGATGGAAGCAGACCCTTATGTGCTGTAAATTCTAAGAGCCTTGTTTGCCTTCATTAATAGGTTCTTGGTTCCGTATACAAAATCAAAAGTTTACACTAGTTTTAGTAAATATATACACAAGCCATATCCATCAGTGTGGTTTTAGGTAGTTTGTGCTCTTCGCTAAATTCTAAAAGGTTGTGGTCGTGGTGGAAAAGAGGTCTGTGTTACCGGTTTGAAGTCGACCTACTTGTGTGCCATTATTTAGATGACCAAAAGTTATCATTAATTTGTTTTTATGAGATTGCATTTTGTATTCTTTGTCTCAATTGTAGCAATAGTATGAAATATATAGTCCTATGACTGTGTCCGGTCCCTCAACCACGGGGCCTATGGTCAGTTTGGTTCTAGCCAAGTCCTGAGTGATTGGATCCTGTGCACACTAGTCTTAACATTTGAAAACTAGGTTTGGTTAGGATTATGGAACCTAGGATTGGGTTCCCGTTCAGAACCGGGTCCAGAAACTTAGGTGATTGGAAGTCCTAGGGTTATTAAAAAATCTAAAACCGAATAACTCATTCAAACTAAAACGGTTTTGGCTTATTTGTTTTGCGAGTTAAACAGTTCGATTAACCAAATAAGGTAAATTTTGGTTTCAATTGTTTTTCCATATTGGTTAACCAAATAGTATTTACTTTATATAGTTTCTTCAAGATGAATTGGTTTTGGGAAAGGGAAAAATCTAAAAAACCCAACAAACTATTTGATTTTGAATGATTAAGTTTTTAAACTATTTTTTTGAATGATAAAAAAACTTTCCAAAATTGGGTAAATATATCCTTGTAACCTAGTAAAAACAGGTTAATGTGATAAAAATTTGGGAAAAGTCTAAAAAAACTCAACAAACGATCTGATTTTAAATGATTAAGTCCCTATTTTTTTAACAAATAAATTCCTAAATCTTTTAACCAAATAAATTTTTTGAACTTTTACGAACAAATTCACAAATTTAAAAAAAAACAAAATCATGAACTTTATGTTGAACAAATAACTCCGAAACTTTTTGGAACAAAATTATGAAAAATAATTTATATACAATTCCTTTCACCGACAACAAAGTACAATGAACCAAAGAGCCTTTGATCTAGCGGTATCGTTGCCCTTGGCCTTCTAGGTGATGAGGGTGTGCGAGTTTATTTGTTGTATTTGCCGTATATAAATATTATATACTTCAAAAAAAAAGTACAATAAACCAATTGAATAGAGAAAAATTATACCATTTTCATTAGTCTGAAACATAGTTATGCCTAAAACATAAATTGATACATACAAAAATATTTATAAATAAAAATAAAGTTAATGAACTTAATTTATACTTTAAGCATACTTTTGTATGTTTTGAAATTAGTAATGAAAATTGTACTTTTTTATTTATTTAATTGGTTTATTGTGCTTTGTTGTTGTTGAGAAAAATTGTATATATTTTTTTGTTTAAAAAAAGTTCTGAATTTATTTGTTCAAAAAAAGTTCAATAATTTATTTGGTAAAAAGATTACATGAAAAATTTAGGGATTTATTTTTTAAAAAAAGGATTTATTTAAAAAAAATAGGGACTTAATCAATCAAAATCGGATAGTTTGTTTAGCTTTGATGGGTATTTCCTAAAATTTTAATCACATTAACCTGTTTTTACAGGTTATAAGAATGTATTTAACCGGTTTTAGAAAGTTTAAAGATTTTATCGTTCAAAAAAATAATTTAAGGACTTAATCATTCAAAATCAGATAGTTTGTTGGGTTTTTTAGACTTTTCTCTTTGAGAAATTTGCATAAATAGCTAAAGCTGATCGGTGATTTCACTTTTTAGTCATTTCTTACTTAGATTCATTTTATAGTCAATCTTTATGCAGAAGACTTACACATATGCATAAAGATTGGTTTTCAACCAAAAAAAGGAATCTTTACGCATATTCATGAGGTTACTATTTCGTCGAAAACCAATCATTACGCATAGGGGTGCTAATGGGTTGATCGGGTTGAAGATATTTGAACAACTCAACTCAATGCTTGCGGTTTGAAAAATCTTAACTTAACCCAACCCGAACCAAAGTGAAAGCCAACCCAACCCGTACGGGTTGGTGAGGTTGATATTTTGGTACATTAAAAAATATGTTATTTCTCTATTCATAATTTCTTTTTCATCATCAATCATTTGATACAACTTATTCATACTTCTTACGTATATCACATTCAGTTAATTTTCTTAATTTACATATATATGTTCACAATTACTGAACATATATAGAAATGAGTTATATAGAGATGTGAATAAATTGAAAATATATGTATATGAAGAGCATACATGAGCAGCAATTAACTGAACGTAAAAAGTGCATCCAGCAGGAATCGAACCTACGAATTTGCCCGGTTGGGCGCTTTAACCATTCAGCCATGGATGCACCCCCTTTTGCCGGATTATTTCCGTTGTAATAAAAAAAAGGCTAATTTTATAGTATAATTATCTAATGTATATATTAATTGAAATTCCACAATCATATTAAATCCAATAAATAAAAGGATATCAGGTTCATCGGGTTGGATTGAGTTCAAATAATAGTAATCCAATATCAACCAAATACTTACGGTTTGACAATTTTACAACTCTATTAAACATCGGGTTGCTTTGAGTTGAATTATTTCATGTTGGGTTGGGTTGGGTTGAACGGGTTTTTAAGCACCCCTACATATGCATAAGCGTCCAGCATAAGTATTGCAAAAAGTAAATTTGGATCAAAAAATGGCTAAAAACTGAAACCCTATTTGCTGATTGTTTATTTTGTCAGTTTCTCATTGATTTTAGCATATACAAAATTTTAAATTAAAAAAACAAGAAATTGAGATATATTTAACAAAAAACATCAACCGATATTATCTTTACAGCAAGATTGGAAGAACTAACAATAACAACACAATAAATGTGTGTGTGGGTGGGGCGACTATCAAACGAGGGGGGAGG